AGAGAGATCTGGGATAGGCAACGAATCTTTCATGCCTTCAGTGTGCGTGCGTGCGTGCGTGCGAGGAGGACGAGGAGGAGGAGGAGGAGAGGGAGAGGGAGAGGGAGAGGGAGAGGGAGAGGGAGAGGGAGGGAGGAGGAGGAGGAGGCGGCTCTTGGGGTCTCGGGGCTTTGGGGGGCCTCTCGGGCGCTTCCTGGGGGCTTCTGGGTGGCCTCTTGGGGGCCTTGGACCCACGGGAGTCATCCTGGGGGCTCTCGGGCGCCGCTGGGGGCCTCTGGGCGGTCTCGGGGGCCGTCTGAGCACAAGAGGGCTCGTGGGGCCATTTCGTGCTTTCCCATCTATGGCTGAGACCTTCACAGTACACAATACCCAACGCAGAGAACTCGTAGGGAACTCGAAGGTACCTGAGGACACTCCACTCAGTGCCTACGGCACGGTGGCGGATTTGTTCAAGCTGGTTCAACTCAGAACATGCGGCCGAGTTGGAAGTAGTGCGTTCACGACGGGTAGGGAATGTGAGCTCGCGCGTCCCGAGCTCGCTGCCAGGCCTAACGAAGTCTGGTTCTGAACGCCACGCACCCAAACCTTACTGGCACACCGTTGCGCAGGCACGGCCGGCACGATCTCTGCTCAGTACCTTCGGGTCAAGCGACGCGGACACCGCTCGCCCCTCCGCCCCCGCCCGCGACCCCCGCCCCGGATGGACCGCAGCTCTCTGGGGGGCCGCCCGTTTCGACAGCGCCGAGCCCCGCCGCCCTGCGTGAAGCTCCCTGCCGTTGGAGCCGAGGCGCTGACATGAGGGCCGCTTTGGATTCAGGAGGGGCCCTGGCTTTCGATGCGCTCCTCGGGCCTGTGTCGGGGAGCCTGTTCGTCCCAGACCTCCGGCGTGGCTGTTCCGCAACCTCGTTCCCTGGAGGGCTGGGCCCTTGTCCCCTTGTCCCCAGGACCAACTCTTCATCCCGAGTCGTTCGTTGACGGCTCTGGGGCTCATCGTGAAAAAGTTGCAGCGCCCAGATCCCAGGGCCGTTCCTTGCGCGGCTCTTCCCACGGCAGCACGATGGCCGCACCCTCGTGGGCGAAAAGCATACCCGTGTCCGCGGCCTCGCGGGCTGGGCGTGTCGGCATGGCGACCCCGCGGATACGGGGCGCTTGTTTCGCGGATTCCCCGCGCGGGACGTCTGCGTGTGACCGCGTATCCGCGGGATCGCGCCCCCGAATACAGACCGCGAACGCGTGGACATGGACACGTTCGCCGCTCGTGAGCTCCGCAAACGTCCGATTCGGCTGTGTGAAGCACTCGAAGAGGTGGGAGGCATGAGCGTTGCAGCGTCGCTTGAGGACACACTGGGCCCGGGTCGGCGTGTTAGGAGTCGTTCCCGTCTCAGCGTCCCTCCCGCGTTACATCACGTGTTGGCCAAGTTCTGCGCTAAACCCTCCCCGGCCTGCGGGCCCCCTGACCCAGACCGGTTCGGATGCAACTCCTGGGAGGTCAAATTCTGATTTTGCCCTAGTCCGAAATCCGGCTTAATCTCGCTTAATCCCGCTGAATATGGCTGAATCCTTTTAATCCCGCTTAATCCGGCTTAATCCGAGGCCCGCTCAGGCGTAGCAGCCCCCCCAAGGGCGTAATCCTTTTCAATCTTTCCGGCGAAAACCTCCCAGTAGTTGCCTCCTGAGACCGTGGGGGGGGGACGAGCCGCTCCTGGCTGCCTTTCGTGGCCGCCGTTCGATGCTCCTCAGGACGTGTGTTGGTCCAGCGGGTGTGCTACAGTCGGGGCGCTGGAGAAGGAACTCTTTTCGTTGGGGAGGGGCTCCGTGTTCCTTAATTGTTTCGCAGTTTTCCCTACGTTTTCCTTAGGTCTCCGATGGGAAATCGAAGTTCAACTTCTGGACAAGAGGGGCCTCGCTCCTTATTTAGGGTTCCCTTGGTCAGCGCCCCGACTGTACCCAGTTCAGCTCTGCCGCTGGCCCTTTCAGCCTGCGCCAGCCCTCGTCGACAGCGCACGCGTCGTACCACAGGGCTTCGGTGGACCAGCACGCGTTGGCGCTATACGGTCGGGGCGTTCGCGCAGGAATGGTGCCCAGGAGGCTGCAGACCCGGGAGGGCCCCTTCTCTGGTGAGGGCGTCGGTGATATCCACGGCCGATCCACGAGGGGCACTCCACCGGCTTCCAGACCTTTGGGCTCCTCTTGGGCGTCGCGTCATGGGAGGGGGGGGGCGTTAGATATAGATGGGAGGGGCAGCGAGGGCTGCAGAAAAGGGGCCCTTGAGGGTCCCCGCAGGGGCCTTCCAGGGTCCCAACTGGGGCTCCCAGGGCCCCAAATGTGCCCCCTCTCCCCCCTCCCCCCCCATGTGTCGCCCCCCCCCCCCATGAAGCAAACGCCCAGTCCTTGTCCGTGCGCCCCCGCTCCAGCGCCCTCGCCGTGACACACGTCCCGAGGACCATCGGCCGGACCTTCGCCCCCTGCCCTCCCGCGAGGAGTGGTGCTGCCAGCACAAGGGCATCGGCTGTGGGCGCGGCGAGGCGGCCTCCGCGCACCGCGAGCTCCCCTCCCTCCCTCTCTCTCTGGCAGGGCGGGGCGCAGGGAGCCCGGCGGGCGTGGAGTTCTCGGCTGCGAGCTCTCGGCTGCCGGTGCGGCCTCGCTGCCGCCCTCGCTCTGATCCTCGGCCCTCTCGTTCCTCTCGTCGTGCCCCCCCCGCCCCCCCCCCGCTCCTCCTCCTGCTCCTGCTCCTCCTCCTCCTCCTCCTCCTCCTCCTCCTCCTCCTCCTCCTCCTCCTCGCTCCTCCTCTTCCCTACGGTCGTCTCCTCGCTCCTCCTCCTCATCCTCCTCATCATCATCAGCAGCATCATCATCAAAATCGTCGTCATCATCGTCATCATCATCGGCATCATCATCATCATCATCATCATCATCATCATCATCATCATCATCATCATCATCATCATCATCATCATCATCATCATCATCATCATCATCATCATCATCATCATATCATTCATCGTCACCATCATCATCATCATCATCATCATCATCATCATCATCATCATCATCATCATCATCATCATCATCATCATCATCATCATCATCGGCAGCAGCAGCAGCATCACCATCACCATCAGCAGCAACCACATCATCATCAACAACAATATCATCATCAGCAACAGCATCAACATCTCATTATCAGCATCTTCATCAGCAGCATCATCAGCAGCATCATCATTATCATCCTTATCCTCATCGGCTGCAGCGTGCTCGCCTCCGTGCAGGCGGAGTGGAGCCCCTCTAGGCCTCCCAGCTGGGCTACGAGTAGATGGGGTCCGAGGATCGCGCCGCACCGCCGATGTATCGCCGATGCCGCTCGACATTGTGCCCGAGTTTCTCAACGCCGACGGTGCCGATGCATCGGCGATGTAGCGCGATCCTCCGACCCCATCTGCTCGGACCCCGCTTGGGAGGCCTCTACTGATGGCGGCGCGCTTCGGGCGCGTGGCTTGCCCCAGACTTACTCGAGTGGTTGCCCAAATGTTCGAAGGTGTTCGGATGTTTTCGTTGGCTCTTCGGCGTTTTCTCACCTCGGAATGCCTGCCGGTAGCTGCCTCGCCGGGGGCTCGGTCGGGGGGGGGGGCCAGATCGCTCCGAGCGGCCGCCAAAGACTCGAGTGATGTCACGAAGGCGAATTCCCTTCTCGCCGCGAGGAGAAATCGCGGCCCGGCGGTGTGGTGCCCTTTCCGGCCCTCGGGGGCTCTCGCCTGGCTGCGGGGCCGTGAATCGGGGAACAAAAACCAAAAAATGTGACATAAACAAGAGAACTCGGAGGTCCGCGCGGATTTCTCGGATCGGCGCTGGAGCCCCCTCCCTGGCGCGCTCCGCGCGCCAGGGGCGGCGCCGGAGGCGCCGCCGGGGGGCCCCAGCGCCGATCCGAGAAATCCGCGCGGACCTCCGAGTTTTTATGTTTACGCAACTTCTTACTCCCCTAGTGAAGGGAGGGCAGGTCCCGGGAGAGAGGTGCAGACCTGCGGGGAGCGACGCTGTCCGACTGCACGGTTTTGGCGGTCGCGGCCCCGCGCGCGGCTGGGCCCCCCAGGCGGGATCACGTTGGATCGCCGCGCCAGCCCCCATGGCAGGAGGCACGTTGGTCGACTGCACGTGAGAGTGGCCATTCCCCTCGCCCTCATTCTTCCAGACCTTCCGTGCTGACCTTCCACACTCTTGCGCTTCGTGAAACGCTGACTTTTCTTGCGTTTCCCGAGGCTTTGAATAACTCCAATGCATCACCTCCCGCGCCTTCCGCAGAGGTCGGAAGGTATGGAAGATGGAGGTGGAGGGCCGCCGAAGTGACCGTGGCCGGACGGAGCCAGGACGAGGATAAGTCCGCTCCACCCTGACTCCAGATCCGCCCTACTTTGGCTTTTTTTCCAGCTTAAAATTGCGTCGGAAATCCACCTATACGGGGCCGAACAAGTAGGGCGGAAATTGCTGCACCCAACATAAAATAGGGCGGAAATCCACAGAAACAGCAACAGAAAAGTAGGGCGGAAACTGGCATCAGCGGGGCTTGAAAAGTAAGGCGGAAATTTCAAGTCCTACTTACGAATTTTCCCAAAGTAAGGCGGATCCGAAGTCAGGGCAGAGCGTTCCGGAGCGCTCTCGGAGCGCTGCGGAGCGCTCTGAGGAGGTCGCGGCGCCCGAGGCAGCTTCCAGAGCCGCCGGGCCTCAAAGCTGGTCGATCTGTCCTCGCCCGATGTTCTCCTCGTCCTGGCTTCGTCGTACGGAGGAGGAGGAGGAGGAGGAGGAGGAGGAGGAGGAGGAGGAGGAGGGGGGGAGGAGGAGGAGGAGGGGGAGGAGGAGGAGGAGGAGGAGGAGGAGGAGGAGGAGGAGGAGGAGGAGGAGGAGGAGGAGAGAGGAGGAGGAGAGGAGGAGGAGGAGGAGGAGGAGGAGGAGGAGGAGGAGGAGGAGGAGGAGGAGGAGGAGAGAGGAGAGGAGGAGGAGATGGGGGGAGGAGGAGGAGAGGAGAGGAGGAGGAGGAGGGAGGAGGAGGAGTGAGGAGGAGGGAGGAGGAGGAGGAGGAGGGGAAGGAGGAGGAGGAGGAGAGAGGAGGAGGAGAAAGAGGAGGATGAGGAGGAGGAGGAGGAGGAGGGGGAGGAGGAGGCGCCCGGGGTGCGGGCCCCCATGGGGCGCCCGAGGCTGCCCCGCCCCCCCGCGGCCCCCCAGCCTGGAGGCTCCGGGGGCTGGCCCCGCGCCGCGGCCCTCCCTCGTGGCGCGTGCCTGGGCGCCTGGCTCTGCCCTGAAAGTCGGGCGTGTCCCTCCACAAGAGGAGTATGCAAAAACAGTCAAACAATAGCTTTGGGGACTATTTATCTAGTATTTTTTTTGACCATTTGGGGGTACTTTTTTAACTATTTCAAATTTTTCGTCCTTATAATCCCCCTGTGGGAGGACAGGCCCGACTTAACTTTACCCTCCCCCCCCCTCCCACGGCCCCCCGAAGCCGCGCAGCGAAGGGTCGCTCTTGCCCGGGGTGGCTTTTTTGGCGTGCAGCCGAGCTGGGCTCGGGGGCGGCAAAGAGGCGGGTGACGACTGGGGGGGGGGTATCACGGCGGGGGCCACGACACTTCCCCAGATGTCGTGGCGCCCCTCCTTGTTTCAGTACGTCCCTGACCCCCCCCCCTTGGGCCGCGCACGTGCAGCCGGCCATGATTTGCGCCCTCCCCCTCCCCCTCCTCCTCCTCCTCCTCCTCCTTCTCCTCCTCCTTCTCCTCCTCCTCCTCCTCCTCCTCCTCCTCCTCCTCCTCCTCCTCCTCCTCCCTCCCCCTCTTGGCCGCGCCCGATGTGCACAAGGCGCGTGACGGCGCGGGCGCGGGGCCCGCGCCGGGCCAGGCCGATCGAAGCAGCCCGGGTCGGCGGCGGCAGAGGGCCTGGTTTGCGCGCGGGCTGTGGTGTGCGACCGGCGCGGGTGGGGCCCTGCCATATGGAGCACGGCCGCCGCCCCCGTCGGGCCTCCTCGGGGCGCGGCGGCGAGCCCCGTCGAGGCCCACGCCCGCCCCGCAGGGTGCCACCAAAAGGGTGCCCGTGGCAGGCCACCCCCCGTGGCAAGCCTCACGCCTCGGAGTGTCGCCCGAGGGACGGCGGGCGGCGCCCACCGCCTTGGCGCGCCTTGCCGTGGGGGCGAGGTCCGGGCTCCGACCCTCCGCTCAAGGCAGGGCTCCCGGTGGTCCGGGCAAGCAGTGATAGGAGCCGTAGACCCAGACCTCCTCGCGTCGTGAAGAAATCACGACGGGAGGTTTTTCGCCATTTTCGGCCTCCGGGGGCCCTTCCCGGGCCTCGGGACCGTCAAAAAACGATTCAGGATGACAAGCCGGTCCCGGGGAAAGGGTCCAGACTTCTGGGTGTCGACGTCGTGAAAAAATCAAGACGTCGGGGGTCTGGGGCCGTAGAGCAGCATGTGTGGTGCCCCATCTCCCCAGACGCTCGGCGTCGCGAACAGAAAAGATCGAGGCTGGGGTTGTCCGTGATGTTCGGCCCCTCGGGGCCCTCCCCCGGCCTCGGGCCATCAGCAAGCAGCTCGGTAGGAGAAGCCTGGCCCAAGGAGGTGGTCGAGAGGTCGGGGGGCCGTGTCTCGAATAAACCGAGACGCCCCATGTCTTGGTCATGGCCACCCGTGTTTGTGTTGCTGTTTGAATGGCCACTGGCACGTAGTCGTACAGACTGGCTTGTTTGTGTTGTGACCACCAGCTGCTGTTTGCGACAACCGCTTTTTTGATTGACAGGTTGCTACCTGCATGCTTCTCCCCAAGTACTGGTAGACAATCAAGCTGCACGATCGAAGCACGGCGGAGCAGTTCTGCCCGGCATCGGGATCGCGTTCCGTCACTGCCGGGGCCCGGCTGCGCCGAGCTGGCTTGCAGATGACGCGCACGGAATGCCCTACTCCGCCTGCGCCTCCTCCCCACGAGGAGCCCCCATATGCCCCCCCGTGCGGGGGATGCACGAGCGATCCCAGACCCCCGACCCAGACCCCCTCGGGTGATATAAAAAAAAGCGGCGGGAGGTGTCTCGCTACTCTCGGCTCCGAGGGGGCCTTGAACCCGCCCTCGGGACCGTCCATAAGCGGCTCGGGATGGACAGCCGGCCCCGGGGAAGGAGTCCAGACCGTCTGGGGTCCGCGCCAGGAGAGAGCCACGTCGCGGGGGTCATGGGACGTGGTTCCCCAGAGGTCCAGACCCCTTTCCTGGGACTGGCTTTTCGTCCCGAGTCGTACAGTGGCCCAGGGTCGGCGGGGGAGCTGCGAGCCCGCGCAGGTGACGGAGCCCGTGCGCTTGTACCTCGCGGCTTTGACACTTGTCTGGCCCAAAATGGCCGTCCGTATACATGCGCGTCCTGCTGCGCAAATCGTTTCGCTGCGGCCCAGCGCTTGCCACGACGGACTCGCGCGCCCGCCGAGTCCACGATTTTAAATGTCCTGCCATTCGGCTCGAGACTCGGCGCCTTGCTGTGGGAAAGCAGGTGCGGCGCATTCAAACTTCTCGCGAACTACAGTATCTTCCCGCGTCCTCGCGTGTCCTGTTTCGCGTGGCCCGCTCTGCACATGTCGAGGACGTCTTCGCCCAATGTAGTGGCGATCGCGCAAAGTTCTTCGGCATCTGTGCAGGCTTGGGTGATCCCATCGGTGGTTTTAGGCTTGGGTGATCCCATCGGTGGTTTTGTCCACCAGAAATGGTCCTAGCTGTTGTTGCTCACCGTACAACATGTTGTTGACCTTGACGTCGTAAAGGCTTGGGGCGCGCCCAGCGATGACTCCTCCTGCACCTCCTTCTCTACCTCATCCTCCTCCTCCTCCTCCTCCTCCGCCTCCTCCATTTCCTCCTCCACCTCCTCCGCCTCCTCCTCCTCTTCTTCCGTCTCCTCCACATCCTCCTCAACCTCCTCCGCCCGCCTCCTCCTCCTCTGCCTCCTCCCTCGCCCTCCTCCTCCTCATCCCTCGCCCCCCTCTCTCCTCCCCTACTGTGCATAGCCATTCGGGCTCGAGGACTGGCAGATCAAGTTCCAGCCTCGCACAGACCATCTACTCTACCGTCTGCATATCTCAGGAGGGAAAAAAACACACACAGACACAATTAATCGTCCACACCCAGGAAAATATGGAAAAATATGGGGATTGGGGGGGGAGACAAAAACCCAGAAAATATGGGGAAATATGGGGAATCCTTATATATATATATATATATATATATATATATATATATTTATTTGTGTGTCCCAGGGCCCCTTCAATATCCTCGCGATGGCAATGAGGGCGCTGCTTACGCTATCCGCCATGTCTTCCGCAGCCTCGTCCCTGACGCTTCAGGCCCGGGGAGGACAGGCCGTGGACGAGCACGCCTCCGTGGGCGGCCTCTCCTCTCCCCGAGGCGGAGGCCCCCTCCTGCGGGAGGGGGCCGGCGAGCGACCGGCGAGGCGGCCGACGAGGAGGTCCGCGCTCCTGCAGGGGGTCGACGCCCTATGAGAGGGTGGCCGAGGAGGAGGAGGAGGAGGAGGAGGAGGAGGAGGAGGAGGAGGAGGCGGAAGGCGACCCCGAGGCGCCCGCCGCCGAGGCCGGAGGTGGGCGGGCCTGCCGGAGGCGGCCCGCAGCAGGGTCACCAGGGCCCGCCCCAGCATCGCCGAGCGGGTGCAGTGTGCACCCTCCGCGGTGCGCGCCCGCGCCTCGGCGTCGGCCTCCTCGGCGCGGCGACCGCGCTGGCGGCAGCCTGGCTCGCGCTGTGAGAGCCGAGGGGGGGGGGAGGCCCGCCGCCCTCGGAGTGCAAATCACGCACTGCACGCGAAAGTGCAGCGATACCCTCTGCGCCCCGGGATGCACCGCACGCCCCGAACGTGTTGCCACCCCACAGATCTACTGCACCAAACCTATTGCACCACGCCCCTTGTCGCTGGACCCCCTTCCCAGAGATCCAACGTGCTGAAAAAATCAAGACGGAGGCTTCCACAGATTTCGGCTTCCAGGGGCCCTTACCGGGCCTCGGGACCGTCAAAAGACGACTCAGGGTGAGAATCCGGTGCTGGGGAATGGGTCGAGACTTCTGGGGGCCGCGTATGGAAAAAATCACGACATCGGATCTCTGGGTTGTTGGTCAACCCGAACGATCCCCGCCGCCGGGGGCCCACCTCGGCAGACGAGGGACGGGACAGGCGGGCCGGACGTCCTCCAAGGCTGCCGGGGGGCTTCGGCGGGCGGTGGCGGCACCTGGAGCGGAGGCGCCCGCGCGACGAGGCGCGCGCACACCTCGGCGGGGGGGGCTGCGCCCTCGGCCGCCCGGGCCCCATGGGCTGAGCCCTCGAGGGCAGCGGAGCCGGAGAGCAGGTTTGGGGGGCCCCGACTCCGGATCCGCCCTACTTTGGCTTTTTTTTTTAAATTGCGTCGGAAATCCACCTATAAGAGGCCGAACATCTAGGGCGGAAGTTTCTGCACCCAACATACAGTGGGGCGGAAATCCACAGAAGTAGGGCGGAAACAGCAACAGAAAAGTAGGGCGGAAATTGACATCAGCGGGGCTTGAAAAGTAAGGCGGAAATTCCAAGCCCTATCTACGAATTTCCCCAAAATAGGGCGGATCCGGAGTCAGGGGGGGTCCCTTGCGAGGCCTCTGGGGATCACTTGCGGGCCCCCGTGGGCCATCGTGGGGCTGTGGGTTGCGGCCTCTCGTCGCCCGCCCCGAGGGCATCTCGGGGAGGCCTCCTGGGGCCCTGGAAGTCCTCCCTGGGCGTTCCGGCAGCACCTCGAGGCCTTTTGGGGGGGGGGGCCACCCGGGGGCCGTCTTGTGGGGTCTCGGAGGCTCGCAAAAAAACCGAAGGATTGCAAACAAAAACCTTCGTTCTTGTTCGTTCTTGTGGTTTTTTTTTTTGCAATCCTTCGTTCTTGTTGGTTTTTTGTTCAATCCTTTTTTTTTTTGCAGTCCTTCGTTGGGGTGCCGCCGCCGGGGCCTCCGGGGGCTTTTTTTGACCG